CCTCTTCTTCCCTATTGGCTTTGCTGAGCTCTGGCGGGGGGGGGGGGCGTTGCTGAGGGCAGTAAGTGGGGGGTGCAGGTGGATCTGCCCAATTTAAAAAAAAAAACACCAAACACATCAAAACAACACAACAAAAAAATAAACCCAAAAGTTACTCATGCCCCAACACCCGCCCCTGCCCAAGCACCCTGACAGCCCCAGTTTTGTCAGGGCAGCCACCCAGGGGGCTCTCCCCAGCCCAGCCCAGGGGATGGTGGCACCACCCAAAAACATCACTGCCAAGAAGGGGGTGGAGACTCAGTGGTTTATCAAGAAAAGGTGACCGAAGCAGTTTCACTTTTCTTAACTGCTGGGTATAAGTACTGCCCTCTGTACAGGCCCAGAGCAGCCCTGCAGGAGCACCCCCGGGGTCAGCAGCAGGTTGGAGCATCCTCCCTCTGTCCCTCTCCGCCTTTGGAAACGCTTTCCTTGCAGGCAGGATCTGGCCGGACAGCACTGGAGACCCTTCCCCTTCCCAAGGTAAGTGCTGGGGAGGGGGGGAGCGGGCGGTTATTCCCAGCCTGGCAATTACTCTACCGGTAGCAGGTCTTGGAAGACCCCTCGACGCTGCTGCCCTCCCAGCTCTGGGGCCCCCACCTCTCCCTGGGGAAAGAGCTGTTCACCCCAAGCGAAGTGGGGCTGTCTGAGCAGCCTGGGGGACGGGATGGACACGGACACCTCTGTCCCCACACCCCCACAGCTACACCCACCAGTAGTACCCAAGCCCCCCCAAAACCCCGCAGTTTCGATTCCCCGCTAAGTTTCATTTCCCCGCGAAACGCGCCTGACGTCACCTGGTGCAGGGGCGTGGCAGAAAGATGAGCGCGGGGCTGAGGAAATGGCTCCTGCAGCTCTGGGGCCTCAGCACAGGAGACATAGACCCATCGGAGTGGGGACACCCCTGCTGTGAGGCCAGGCAGAGAGCTGGGGTTGGGCAGCCTGGAGGAGAGAAGGCCCCGGGAGACCTTACTGCAGCCTTTTACTACTTAAAGAGGGCCTACGGCTTTAAACGAAAAGAGGGCAGATTTAGGCTAGATCTAAGGAAGAAATTTTTTACACTGAGGATGGAGAAACACCGGTCCAGGCTGCCCAGAGGAGTGGGAGATGCCCCATCCCTGGAGCCATTCATGCTCAGGTTGGAGAGGGCTCTGAGCAACCTCATCTAACTGAAGATGTCCCTATTGCTCAGAGCCCCATCCATTTTTTCGGGCATCCCCTATTGTCCCAGGCCCAGTATCTCCCCAAACCACCACCACCCGTTGAGCTCACCTCCTGCCAAGCTGTGTACTTTGTACTTTCAGACACTGCAGGAACTTGCACGGAGTCTCACAACCGCCGTCTGTGCTGGCTGCACCGGTTCCTGCTCCCTTCCGTGGGGAGGCTGTGACTGTTGCTGTTGAACCACCACGAGCTCCATGGATGGAGCTGACCAGGCTCCAGGCACCTGCTGAACCAGCTCGGAGTTGAGCTTTCACCCTACAGTAAGAGATACATCAGCACCATCCTGTCCCTTTCCCCATGAGGCATGTTGGCCAGTCCGTAGCTCTCGGGTGGTTACCATGGACGGTGTGAATCAACCCCAGATTTTGGCTGTCACACTGAGCAGACTTATTTACCACCTTTTCCAGCTCTGCCCGCTGCAGGCCACCTCTGCCCCCTGTAAATGGAGCCCAAGCCAGGCAGAAGATACCATGTATGAGGCCAGGACACCCCACTGAAAAAAAAATAATTATAAAATCTTCTGTTTGGTTGGGCAGAAAAATCCAATGGGCACCAGAACAAATGTGGAAAAAGAGAGGGAAGAGAAAAAAAAACAAACACCAGGGAGAGGAAGAGTACATGAACTATAAAGTGAGCCAAAAAGGAAGTGGGAGGAGTACGAGGCAAGGGAAGGCGGAGAAAGCAAGGAAAAGGCAGGAATCAAAAGGAAGATACTGTGCAACCTAAGGGGATACCGTAGTGCTGGGCCTCCTCTTCCAGAGTCTAACTCCAGCAAAACCCCATCTCCTCCTCCACTCACCCCTGTCAGAGGCACGACAGCCGCCGTCACTCAGTACAGGGACACGGCCACGTAGCTGGCAAGACCGGGCTTTTAGCGGTGCAGAAACTGCCAGACTGGGCCAAAAGGGTGGGGTGGGGGTTGGGAGAAAAGAACAAGTCAGTCAGCTAACACAGCAACGTTAACTAAGGCTGAAGACAATTATTTTTTTCCCCTCTAGGGTTTTGATCGTTAACATCTGGACTTACCTCATCAAAGGCAATGGGTATGTGTTGCTTTCGGAAAATCTGTAGCAATTTGTTTTTTAATATCTGCATCTTAAGAGTTCATCTCTAGTGGGGAACTAAGGGGTACTCTTAACATCATGTTATGATTTGTATTGATGCTATCTTCATTTAGCAGAAAATAAAGACTCGAGTGGGTAAATGACCCACCCAGACCCTGTCTGTTCCAGTAACTTCATCACATCGTTCCCTTCAAAGAATATTTTGGGTTATTTCCAAACCTCCTTCATGGCCTCCTGCTTCACCATAGTCTTGTGCTGTCACTTAGGGCTGCTTTTGATGAAGATAAAGGATGCTTTTAGTCAACAGAATAAACAGATTTGAGAAGTTAAGATGCAGTCTCCTACTGTGACTGGTAGAAAGAAAACCATCTAGCCTTCAACATGGCCAGTTCTGCAAGGATTATAATGTCCTGTCAAGCACATTAGCGTGTTTTTAGTTTGTATTACTAATACATAATTTTAACTTCTAGATTACAAAGAATTACCTGTGAATGAATGGAATGAGAACAATGTCAAATGTTGGCTAGAATCTACTGGAATCAAGAAAGAGTATGTAGAAAAACTACATGCGGAAGAAGTGACAGGTCCAGCGCTAATGGAGCTGGACGAATCTTTCCTCAAGAACATAGGGATGAAGGTCATTTCCCCGCGAAACGCGCCTGACGTCACCTGGTGCAGGGGCGTGGCAGAAAGATGAGCGCGGGGCTGAGGAAATGGCTCCTGCAGCTCTGGGGCCTCAGCACAGGAGACATAGACCCATCGGAGTGGGGACACCCCTGCTGTGAGGCCAGGCAGAGAGCTGGGGTTGGGCAGCCTGGAGGAGAGAAGGCCCCGGGAGACCTTACTGCAGCCTTTTACTACTTAAAGAGGGCCTACGGCTTTAAACGAAAAGAGGGCAGATTTAGGCTAGATCTAAGGAAGAAATTTTTTACACTAAGGATGGTGAAACACTGGTCTAGGCTGCCCAGAGGAGTGGGAGATGCCTAGATCTAAGGAAGAAATTTTTTACACTGAGGATGGAGAAACACCGGTCCAGGCTGCCCAGAGGAGTGGGAGATGCCCCATCCCTGGAGCCATTCATGCTCAGGTTGGAGAGGGCTCTGAGCAACCTCATCTAACTGAAGATGTCCCTATTGCTCAGAGCCCCATCCATTTTTTCGGGCATCCCCTATTGTCCCAGGCCCAGTATCTCCCCAAACCACCACCACCCGTTGAGCTCACCTCCTGCCAAGCTGTGTACTTTGTACTTTCAGACACTGCAGGAACTTGCACGGAGTCTCACAACCGCCGTCTGTGCTGGCTGCACCGGTTCCTGCTCCCTTCCGTGGGGAGGCTGTGACTGTTGCTGTTGAACCACCACGAGCTCCATGGATGGAGCTGACCAGGCTCCAGGCACCTGCTGAACCAGCTCGGAGTTGAGCTTTCACCCTACAGTAAGAGATACATCAGCACCATCCTGTCCCTTTCCCCATGAGGCATGTTGGCCAGTCCGTAGCTCTTGGGTGGTTACCATGGACGGTGTGAATCAACCCCAGATTTTGGCTGTCACACTGAGCAGACTTATTTACCACCTTTTCCAGCTCTGCCCGCTGCAGGCCACCTCTGCCCCCTGTAAATGGAGCCCAAGCCAGGCAGAAGATACCATGTATGAGGCCAGGACACCCCACTGAAAAAAAAATAATTATAAAATCTTCTGTTTGGTTGGGCAGAAAAATCCAATGGGCACCAGAACAAATGTGGAAAAAGAGAGGGAAGAGAAAAAAAAACAAACACCAGGGAGAGGAAGAGTACATGAACTATAAAGTGAGCCAAAAAGGAAGTGGGAGGAGTACGAGGCAAGGGAAGGCGGAGAAAGCAAGGAAAAGGCAGGAATCAAAAGGAAGATACTGTGCAACCTAAGGGGATACCGTAGTGCTGGGCCTCCTCTTCCAGAGTCTAACTCCAGCAAAACCCCATCTCCTCCTCCACTCACCCCTGTCAGAGGCACGACAGCCGCCGTCACTCAGTACAGGGACACGGCCACGTAGCTGGCAAGACCGGGCTTTGAGCGGTGCAGAAACTGCCAGACTGGGCCAAAAGGGTGGGGTGGGGGTTGGGAGAAAAGAACAAGTCAGTCAGCTAACACAGCAACGTTAACTAAGGCTGAAGACAATTATTTTTTTCCCCTCTAGGGTTTTGATCGTTAACATCTGGACTTACCTCATCAAAGGCAATGGGTATGTGTTGCTTTCGGAAAATCTGTAGCAATTTGTTTTTTAATATCTGCATCTTAAGAGTTCATCTTTAGTGGGGAACTAAGGGGTACTCTTAACATCATGTTATGATTTGTATTGATGCTATCTTCATTTAGCAGAAAATAAAGACTCGAGTGGGTAAATGACCCACCCAGACCCTGTCTGTTCCAGTAACTTCATCACATCGTTCCCTTCAAAGAATATTTTGGGTTATTTCCAAACCTCCTTCATGGCCTCCTGCTTCACCATAGTCTTGTGCTGTCACTTAGGGCTGCTTTTGATGAAGATAAAGGATGCTTTTAGTCAACAGAATAAACAGATTTGAGAAGTTAAGATGCAGTCTCCTACTGTGACTGGTAGAAAGAAAACCATCTAGCCTTCAACATGGCCAGTTCTGCAAGGATTATAATGTCCTGTCAAGCACATTAGCGTGTTTTTAGTTTGTATTACTAATACATAATTTTAACTTCTAGATTACAAAGAATTACCTGTGAATGAATGGAATGAGAACAATGTCAAATGTTGGCTAGAATCTACTGGAATCAAGAAAGAGTATGTAGAAAAACTACATGCGGAAGAAGTGACAGGTCCAGCGCTAATGGAGCTGGACGAATCTTTCCTCAAGAACATAGGGATGAAGGGAGGCCAAATCCACATGTTAATCTGCAAGAGAAACAAACTTCGGGAGCTACAGGAAAATGCACAGCAAACCAAGCATTCCAGCAGCAAAACGTCTGACAAAACTGGTGCACAAACAGATCCAGTGAGACCCAAAAATGCCCCTGCTGAGGGAACTTCAAATGGAGACAGCTGTGGTCCAGGAGAAAAAGCCAGCAGAGAGCACACAGCTGCTACTTCTGGCAAGAGGCAAAGGAAAGGTAACAAATCCCAACCTCAAAGTACTGATGAAGTTTTAGAGCTCAGCAACTGTCGACCATTTAGAAGTCAGAATACTGACTTCAAGTATGTGAAAGACAGGGTTCTTGCTCCAGAATCAGGAGTCAATGATTTAATCACTCCTTGCCACGAATACAAATCTTTTGCCATTGCTGCAGAACTCAACAGAAACCAACTGCAATCAAAATTTGCCTGTGAAGTGATACGATTTGCTTCAGCCTGCATGAACATTCGGACCAACGGCACCATACATTTTGGTATCATGGACAGCGTCGAGGACAGCGGTTGGAAACATGGGCAGATCCTTGGCATAAAGGTCAAAGATCGAGACCACTACGTTGATGCACTGGATTATATAGACAAATGTTTTCCTGAAGAAGTACGGGAAATTGCAAGGAAATGTATTCACCCACCTGTGTTTGTGGAAGTTATTTCAAGAGAGTCTCAGGAACAAAGATTTGTGGTGGAGGTTGACATTGAACCAACATCCAGCTTAGTGAAGAAGAGATGTTTTGAAGTCTATTTGCCAAAATACAATGAAGGCAGCCAGAAGGTGACCCTGACAAAAGAGCGAGCTCTCTATCAGAGACTAGGAGCAAAGTCTGAAACTGTAAAGCACAACGATTTAGTTACTTTCATTCAGGGCTTACAAGACAGGGATGCTCAAAGAGAAAAGGCTGAGCTCTCCAGGGCAGAAGTGCACACAGAAGTATCTCAAGATTTAGGAAGAAAGTTAACAATTCTACTAAATGATGGCAAAAGCTATATAGATGATTCCCTACGGTACATCCTTGTCACAAACAGATGTGAAAAGGATAATCTGAACCATATCAACTTCTTAATGCACTTGAACATCTTCTGTGTCTTTGACTTTGATGAAGATTCTAATGTGTCAGGACTGCACAGCAAGTACAAAGAACACCATGCAACAAGGTCTTATTTTTTACAGGATTTTGCCAATGAAAGTAAGACCAGCAACCCCACCCTCCAGAAACATTTGTGCCTGTTTGACCAGACCAGCTGGATATTCTGCAACGGGCGCAGTGACTTCTGCGGGGGGGAAGAACCTTGTGATGAAAATACATGGATTAGAACAAAAAAAAAATACCTTAAAAAAGCAATTACTCGTATCTGTGATGAAATCCTGCCAAAGGGGTCTTTCATTGTGCTTTTCCTGCTGCTATCACCAGTGCAGAAAACACTGGTGGACACTTTTCAGGAATTCTATACAGAGATGAATGGCACTGAATACATCGTTTGCATTGCAGAGTCCAGAGAGAATTATGGGAAGTGGGCTAATCTAGCTCAGGCTTCCTGCAGCATTGAGACTCTGGACCGCTGCAGCGTGGTGGGTATGCAACTGAGTCACGTAGATGCCACCATTCAAGCAATGCTGCCTTCTACTGCACAACCCAGACACCTGCCAGTTTCCACTAGAGGGCTATGTACACTTCCCTCCCTGGAAGAAGAGAAACTCTTTTCCCTAGAAATCCTTTGTGCTGACCAATGCGAAGATATCAAATTAGATTCTTTGCCTGAAAAAGAAATACAAAAAATAGAACAAAATTTTTACCGAGGGAGAAAAATCATCTGGGAAAACTTCTGGCTTGCTGAAAAAGGATGCTGTGGGGAAATCATTGAACGCGAAGCATGTAAGGATGCCAGCAAACTCCTAGATGACATTTTACGACGAAGTGGATACAACTGTTCTGTAGCTAAACTAAAGATATTTCACCATCCTGGAAGTGGTGGAAGCACAATAGCACGGCAAGTTCTATGGAAAAAAAGAAAGGACTTAAGATGCGCTGTTATCAAAACCTCCTATCCACCTGTAACTGTCTGTGAGCATGCACTGGCACTCAGAGAGTATGAAGAAAGAGACATCAGCTATTGTCTTCCTGTGCTCCTCCTCATTGAAGATTATGATGAAGACTATTTAGAAGAACTAAGGTATGAGCTAATGGATGCTGTAGCAATCAGAAAAATTAATTCCCCCAGACCTTACTTCATCCTCATGTGCTGTAGACGATCCAATGACCCTGAAAGGCTTTGCAAGGTTTCTCCACTGGACACAGTTGCTGTCACTCACAAGCTGACGGACTCAGAGAAAACCCTGTTCAAAAGTAAACTTGAAAAACTGAAGCAGAAAGATGTCAAGCTAGAATTCATACTCACGTTTGTCCTGATGTGCGAGGAGTTCAACGAAACGTATGTGCGAGATTTTGTAGGGCACATATTGCAAGGCATCGACCGTTCTTCCCGTGATACACGTTTGATGTGTTATGTGGCATTGCTTAATTTTTATGTACCTAATTCGTATGTTTCATTGTCACACTGTGAGGCTTTTCTGGGACTGGGGGTATATACAGAAAGAACATCAAGAGCATATGATTTCAAAAGTCATTTGAGCGAACAAGCAAGAATGATTTTTATTGAGCTAAGAGAAAGTACCACCTATATTTCATCTGTTCAGATAATACACTGTCTGGTTGCAAAAGAAATTCTGCATCAGCTTTCAGGAAATGAACCTCAAAGTCAACTTGCAATGACACTTCTTCAGGAAAAGACACTTTTTGAAAACAGATTTGGACGAGATGAATTCATAAAGTTCATCAGAGATCTGTTTATTCGGCGTGATAAAAGAAGCAGGGGTGACAATACCGACACTCTTTTCTCCCCATTCATTGAACATGTCTGTAAAGCTGAAGACTGTGAAAAAGCTATAGCTATTTTAAAAGCTGCATACGAACTCCTTGGAAAAGATGCTTTTTTTGCCCAGCAGCTTGCCAGACTGCATTACATCAATGAAAAATTTGAAGATGCAGAGTACTGGGCAGGGGTGGCAAAACTTCACTTGCCAAACGATTCTTACATATTAGATACAGAAGGTCAAGTCTACAGGAAATGGTTTAGTTTCACTGTGGATAACAAGACACAGGATGACGTCATTCAAAAGATAGAGATTGCTCTTAAAGCTATAAAATGCTTCAGGTCGGCACAACAGGCTGCAAAAGCAGAACGTGACATTATGAACAATGCTGGCTATTTTGGAGAAGTGGAAGTAGGATGTCGTCTTCTTAGATTTTTGTCCACAATCCCTGTATTTAGCAATACAGAGGGGGAACATTCCGAGCTTGTGAAATACCTGATCACAGACTACATTCCTAAAGACATTGAAAAAACATGGGGAAGGCTTCACTCCCGCTTAAAAGGCTTACGCCAGAGCCTGTACAATGCTCTAGAATGGATTTCAGAAGATCTAAGTTATTTCCAAACAGATAAAAACCATGAGATGGAAGAGGAAGATGAGAAAGATGAAATAGAACAAGTTTATAATCCCAGAAAATGGCTAAACAGACAGTCAAAGGTATACGCTAAATTCTTCATCTCAACATCACTGATGGAGGAAAGCAATGGTGGCCCTGAAAGCCAGCTGATTAGGCACATGAATATTTATAAGAGAGGTGGAGGTAGCGTCACTAATATCCTGTCGTTCTTATCAGATAAGAAACAGAGTAGGTCAGCTGAAAACCTAGAAAATATCCTCAGTTTATATACAGATAACCCACAAAGGGATAAGCTAGAGGACAACGATCTGATCCATTACATTTTGTGCCACATCACGTTATCGTGCTTAGCACCAGGATCAGCCAAACTTCTTCCACTGCAAACTCTTCGTGACCTCAGTGTAAGATTTCATAAAGGAAAAAGACAATGTCCAGCAAGTGCCTATTTTTTGCTCACCTTGCTGTACTGGCCAGATGAGGCATTAGACAAAGAACCTAGTCCAGAAAAAGATGAAATTCTAAACTCAGCCCTTCAAACCCTGAAACGTTCATATGACATCAAGATGAAAGATGTTCCTACCAGAAAGAAAAGAATCTACACTCACTTTTTTCTGGGAAAGGGTTATGGCTTACGTAAGATTGTACACAAAACTAAAATTGATAAATTAATTACTGGGTCCTTAAATGAGAGGAGAATGAAGTGGCTACAGGGAACTGTATGGCATACTGGTGAGATTCATGACATCCTCAAAAGAGTTTCTGGTTGGACCAAAGACAGAAATTTATTTATGCGTGGTCACGTGAAGGAATTTCCTGTCTTGCCACTCCATCGAGATTCAGTGCCCCATGGAAATGAAAATGTGACCTTTTATTTAGGCTTTTCATTTAACGGTCTTGTTGCTTACAACGTTGAGGTTGAAAATAATCTACCTGCCAGCAGAATGCAAAGTATTTAGTAGATCAACAGCACCTGCTGTGTTTTTTGAAGATATAGCAATGAAATTGCCTTGCCCACTCTCATATTTTAAAGTAGACTGCGTTGGCTGAGTGCCAGGGAGCAAGATCACAAGTAACTACTACAATAATGATCAAATATCTAAAAAACCCCCTGAAATCTACTAGTAAAATATATCTTGAAATAGAAGCCTTCAATACTTTTGGAGACACCAAAAGCAAGATTTCAAACTTCAGTCAGTAAGAATTACAATATTTGCTTGTGGATATGGGGGGGACAATGATGGGGGATGGGACACACAACTGTAACCGTAAGTTTTTGCTTCTTTCTGAATCAGCAACAAAAAGCTTCAGTGAACTTGCAGCATGTATATGCACGTACACACAGCAGCTCTGACCTACTTTGCTCACTAATGGGTACCATGTATGAAATACATCTGCCCATCAACTGCAAGCCAACAGCCAGTACAGAAGCAAAGGGAAAATAAGCAGTTTTTAAGATGATTTTGCAAACATTGGGACCAATAAAAAATAGTACTGTTTTTTTTTACATCACTCTTACATTGCTTTTCCATGTAAATATTACAGCTATATCTAATATGGTTTGTATCTGGGGAGGGGTGCAGAGACATGTGAACAGATAGATACTGATGACATAAAAGATTATTTGTAAGCACTATTTCACAGTCCAAACAATGCAATGTTTTTACAGCGTTATCCAAGAAATGTCCACACAGTACAAGACTCAGATTTGTCTATTGTATATATCCATGCTTAAAAACATTCTTTGTGTAGACTGATTTACTAATTTGAAAAATGCAAAGGAATTTGTTGTCAGCACTGTATCTGCAATCATCATGTCACATCAAGCTTCTACTAATAAAGTGTTATTCTTGGAGTTATTCTTGAAGTGTCACATTGTTTGATACTATATTGTCACTAAAATTTCCAGAAACCCTGCCATACACCTTAAGTTTTAAACTAATACCCTTTAGGAATTACCATTTCTACACAAGCTTAATTACCCTACCTGAAGATGTAGTTCTAACAGCATCAAGGCACGATTTGCTTTTCCAACTTCAGATCTGGGCATAGCCAAAAGCTGTAAAAGGAATGGCAAGCCACTATGAACTCAGAACCAACGAGATGAAACCAAAGAATATTGTAATACAGGCCTCCACCTTCTGGTCTCAGGAAGCAGAATCAAAGCTTGTGGCTTTGCTGGGCTGGCAATGCTTGTACCTCCCAGGCTGAAGGCAAGGGAAGAAAGGAACCAGCACAGTAGACTCTTGGAGGGAAGCTGCACTGGCAGATTTCACCAGGGCTAAGCAAGTATTTGTGTTAAGTTTAACCTTAAGGGTGAGCTGGAAGCGGGACACACAACTGTAACCGTAAGTTTTTGCTTCTTTCTGAATCAGCAACAAAAAGCTTCAGTGAACTTGCAGCATGTATATGCACGTACACACAGCAGCTCTGACCTACTTTGCTCACTAATGGGTACCATGTATGAAATACATCTGCCCATCAACTGCAAGCCAACAGCCAGTACAGAAGCAAAGGGAAAATAAGCAGTTTTTAAGATGATTTTGCAAACATTGGGACCAATAAAAAATAGTACTGTTTTTTTTTACATCACTCTTACATTGCTTTTCCATGTAAATATTACAGCTATATCTAATATGGTTTGTATCTGGGGAGGGGTGCAGAGACATGTGAACAGATAGATACTGATGACATAAAAGATTATTTGTAAGCACTGTGATTTCACAGTCCAAACAATGCAATGTTTTTACAGCGTTATCCAAGAAATGTCCACACAGTACAAGACTCAGATTTGTCTATTGTATATATCCATGCTTAAAAACATTCTTTGTGTAGACTGATTTACTAATTTGAAAAATGCAAAGGAATTTGTTGTCAGCACTGTATCTGCAATCATCATGTCACATCAAGCTTCTACTAATAAAGTGTTATTCTTGGAGTTATTCTTGAAGTGTCACATTGTTTGATACTATATTGTCACTAAAATTTCCAGAAACCCTGCCATACACCTTAAGTTTTAAACTAATACCCTTTAGGAATTACCATTTCTACACAAGCTTAATTACCCTACCTGAAGATGTAGTTCTAACAGCATCAAGGCACGATTTGCTTTTCCAACTTCAGATCTGGGCATAGCCAAAAGCTGTAAAAGGAATGGCAAGCCACTATGAACTCAGAACCAACGAGATGAAACCAAAGAATATTGTAATACAGGCCTCCACCTTCTGGTCTCAGGAAGCAGAATCAAAGCTTGTGGCTTTGCTGGGCTGGCAATGCTTGTACCTCCCAGGCTGAAGGCAAGGGAAGAAAGGAACCAGCACAGTAGACTCTTGGAGGGAAGCTGCACTGGCAGATTTCACCAGGGCTAAGCAAGTATTTGTGTTAAGTTTAACCTTAAGGGTGAGCTGGAAGCCGCACTGGAGGAGGGAACCATGACAGCATCTGAACAGCAAGAGAGCTGGAGTGTTACAGAGCCTCCTCTGTCCATCACCAAAGCCTCTGTCCCCCACCCTTGATGCAGAGGGTAAAGGGGGGGGTGGGTGTATGTTTGAAAAGTTAATTGGGCAAAGGCAAATTTCTCAAGTCTAACATGGGCCATAAGGATGGTTTCAACCTGGAGCAGAACTAGGATATGCAAACTCACTGAAAAGCATGTGAGCTCAAAGAAAACATTAACTGCTTAAGCTTATACAACCTGCTCAAATGCTGCATGCAAAAGCACAGCTTGTGTTTTCTTTTTGAAACTTACCATGATGAAAAATTAAAGCCAGAGTATTTGGCCAAGAGGGTTGTCTCATGACTTGTTTCCTTCCTGTGGGTGCAGCCTCCTGAGTGGATCCTGCAGCTGGCTATCCTTTGCCCTGCAGCCCGCGCGGCTGCAGACTCACCACTCTCTCCTTTGAGGCCCAAGCCTGGGTCTTGCTTTTCAAAGATACTCATTTCTACCTCTTAGGAACTAAAGGTTTAGATCCAAAATCTTTTCCTCCTCAGGGTATTAGAAACACAATCCCCCCCACTGTGCCCTGCAGAAAGAAACAAGGTTTAGGGAAAAAGCATAAACCTACATACTAGCACTCTGGGTCCTACAACTCAAAGCAAGCTCCTGAGGCCCAGAGGGCAGAAAGTACAAACCCATCGTTCTCGCTTTTTACGCCCTCATATTTGAATTCAAGTCTGATAATATCAATCAAACTTCATAGAATCATAGAATGGTCTGGGATGGAAAGGGCCTTTAAAGGCCATCCAGTCCCGCTTTTTACAGAGTCATATTTGAATTCAAGTCTGATAATATCAATCAAACTTCATAGAATCATAGAATGGTCTGGGATGGAAAGGGCCTTTAAAGGCCATCCAGTCCAACCCCTGCAATAAGCAGGGACATCTTCAACTACGCAGGGCCCCATCCAACCTGACTGTGAACCCTTCCCAGGATGGGGCATCTACCACCTCTCTGGGCAACCTGGGCCAGTGTCTCACCACCCTCAGCATGAAAAATTTACCTGTGAGTAAACAGTGGTAGCTACATGACACCAGCCAGCCTAGCAGAGTAATCCATTCTCATCCTGTAGACAGAAGTTGGAAGGACCCACATCTTCAAAGCTACCTCATCTCTCCAGCGTTTTGCTCTGAAAGGGTTTAGAACAGACCACTTAACAGCATGCCCTCTCCATCTGGTTTTATGAAAATATTAAAGATACTTTTCCTCCATATTCCTCCTGACTTCCAATTTCAATAGTCAATTTTTTTGTAAAGTCAGTTCAGCAGAAAGACAGCAGATCACTAGCAAAAGGAACCTCCAAGTTTGCTTCTCTCCAGCTATAACTCACTTTAAGATAAAGCTCACATGCATGAACTTTTGCAGTATAGACAATCAGAGAGCTAGTACAAAGTGTAACACAAATGGAGGTGGATTTTATACTTACACTTTGGAACAGCTAACGTTTGTTAAGAGTAATAAATAAGTCCTCAAGAGGAGAGAAAAAAAAATACACAAGACATAGTGGTTCACTTCTGTTTAATCGGAGACTGTTACAAAGTGGTAGACACACATTACAGAGGTGGATATGTGCAATGATCCATTCCTGAAGCACACAGTTCATAGAAGGTTCCCAATGGATGCAAATGATGATAGCTCTGTATTTTCTTTGAATCTTCTTTGTAAAATGAAGGCTATAAAATTAAGCTAGTTACTGTTATCATCTGCATGCATTAAAGTGATGCACATACTTACCAGTCTCTCACTTTCTCAAATTAAATTCAACGTCAGTATTTTGACACCTGTCTTTTGAAAAACATCAATGATCCCATCCCTTTCATACTACTTACACAAAAGCAGTAACAAGTCACAGAAAAAAACTTCACGACACGCTAACTTCTGTGGCTGTATGGCTGCTGAGAGGGCACTAATTCCATCATGTGCTTAAAGTATTTTAAAAAGGTACTAAAAACAGTCTGGAGTCTGGGTTTGCTGCACAGTGACCAGAATCTCTGAAGGGGTGATTCTGAGCTATTAAGCAGAATTCTAAAGGAAAGAGTGTGAACTCACTGTTCCATAGATACCGCACCAGCACTGGGGAGGCAGACTTCGGAACCGCACCAGACCGGACCAGCCGCTGCAACGGTGTATCAGAAGTTGAGCTACAACTTAAGACTGCTCACCTGGTTATAAAAGCTTAAGATTCCAAGTATTGTTTTGGTCCCATCTCAGAAGAAAATAAACTTAATTCTACCAAAAAGTACTTAACTAATTGCCATAAAAGGTTTCACAAAGAGATGATGTTCTACCAGAGTCCGTGTTGGGATCTACCCTGGACAAATATACTTTTTGATGATAAGACACCTGAGAACACCACTAGTCTTTAGCCATCCCCACTGATTGCCCAGCTGGTGTACAAGCCGTGCAAGTCAGCATCCAACCACTGTCAAAACAGACTGCACAAAGGAATTCAGCAGGAGAAAGCAATCAATTACTCATTCCGACTTATTACTGAGCATTGCACCAAGTATCAACTAGGGCCAACCACAGAAATTAAGATGCTTGCTTTCTATTAATAGGATAATGGCCTCAAGGCAAGGTACCCCTATTATCCATGCACGTCTGCCATTAAAATACATAGGCAAAGATAAGTTATAAATTTCATTCTACAACTTTCCTTTTTTTTTTTTTCCTTCTAGGGAGAAGGACCTACACACCATTATTGGAAAACGTGCACATAGCTAGGTTTGCAGACAAAGTAATTTAGTGTGAATGACTGAGAACTGAGGTAGAAAAGATGCCAGGAGATGGGCTTCAAGTGCAACTATTCTAAAACCTGGGAAGAGAGAACCCCTTTGAAAGTTTTTATGTTAATACGGAGTTCTGCAGTGTCACATAAGATTTCAAAATTCTAAAATAAGCAATTCTGCTGGAAGCATCAAATCACCCATGAAACTACACCAGACCACTCAGACGAGCTGGCAAAACTAAGGTGCCTGTTCAGCTCCCACACTAGTATGACTTTCCAATACTTATGTTCCTATAATTATCCACCAATGACGTCAAAAGCCCCTCAAATTCACCAGGTGATAATATGCCCTTGAGAAGTGACTTAAAGCACAGAGTTTTACAGCTTATCCAGCTGTGAAACTATGCTTTGTACTACAGCACAGAAAGTTTTCATCTCCCGTGCTGGTATGCAGAGATGAGGTACACAAAGCTTAAAAATAAATGTATGCAGCTGTTCTGGAGAAGGCTGCATCCTTTATCCAATCCCAAAGAACCTTTCTGGTTTTCTTTTAGGGTGTAATATGTTCTATAAAATTAAAAGCCAAAGTTTCCAAGAATATGGAATAGGGCAGAAGAAAAAAGGAATACAGGCAGAGCAGTAAGATAAAACAGCTGGAAAAAACCACATTTGTAGGTAGCCTCTGAAGTGCTGAAATGGGCTAACAAAAAAAAAAATAAATCAGAAAGGAAGAAGCTCCTGGCTTACAGGCCTAACAAAGTAAAAATCTGTTGGTAGGAGACAGTAATTAGCAATAGCTAAAGAAAAACGAAAGAAAGATTACATTACTGCTACAGATTCTTACAAACAGAAATGCTTATTCCCAAACACAACAAATATAGTATCCTATAAATCGTTCACTGATAAAACAGCCTCTTTTATAATAGGTCAGTTACTGAACAAGTGACTTCAACTTTAGATCTCCACCCTTTTCAGTAACACCAATGGCTATTTAAGATTCTGTAATAAATTTTCCTTATGAGTGCTTGCAGGTATTACCTACCCATTACAGATCTTCAGAAAAAAATCAAGACGGTCACTCACTACTGAAAACAGTAGTAAGTAACAGATACATTCACATTTCAGAGACCAAAATTCCCCTCGTGTATTTAAGAGGTATCATTTGAACAAATTATTTCAAATAGGAACATCAGGTACTTACAGATTAAACTAACCTGTACTGGCAGTGCTGTGGAATTTTTCTTCTCTACCAGTAAGTAGCAAATGCTGAAATTCTGCTGCTAGTTAACAGAAACACAAATTGTATTAAACCAAGGAGTGTAACCCATAATTTAGTTTTTCATTAAAAAAAGCTGCCAAACTTCAATTAGTGCAATTTTTTTGCTTAAGAAAAGCATACGAAGTAAAGGCAACTATAAAACTACTTTCAGTTTGCCCTTAGTTTTCTGGAATTTTTCATACATAAGCCAGAAGTTTAACAAGGTAATCCTCTTGTCTACCACAAACATAAAGGAAATTACAATACTTACATTGCCGGGTTCCTTCATTAAACAGTCTCATAAAGTGTTTTCTTATTCTAGACTTTACAAATGAAAGAGCAAAATGCATTTTCTTCCACTAAAATGTATGGGAAAGAAGCTAAAGAATTCAGTGCAAGTAACACATATGCAAGTAACTCAATGAAAAAAAAAAGAGAAAGGAAAAGCTCTGCATGACACCTTCATTTCAAAGCATTATGCAATTTCCTACGCCAGGAGACAGCAAAATAGCTTCTTTGGTTGTACAGCTTAATTTCTGGTAATTCAGTAATTCTTGTTAGTGAAAACCATTTATACATGTTGGCTAAGGGCAGCAGAGGTTGAAATTCTACACACACACACACACACACACCCCCTTTTGAATAGCATCTGGGAACACTGTTAAGATTTGGACAAAATTTACAAAAGAAAATTTGAGACATCAGAAGCTTGACTCTGGTACAAGGCAGTTATCTAATAGAGATCTGCTTTAACTCCTAATAAGGGAAGTTTTTAAGAAAGCTTTCAAGCTCTCAAAGTTGTGCGTGTCTTTGTTTGTAGTTATGACGACACTAGCATTAAAATTCTACCATTTTCTCAAAACTTTTAAACTTCCTTAAATTCCCGAGAAAGAAAAACCTTAAGATAAGTTCAAGACAATATGTATGGATAACTTAAATTCTACATCATTAAAACAGCAGTGCTGCTGATTTTTCTTACTGCAAGAACGCCCATAAGAATAAAACAAGTTATTGTAAACTTGCTCAGAAGGTGGAAGCACCTCACTATTGACACTGTGATCAGGTGTATAAAATACCAGCCCTCAGAGACAGCTCATACCACGGACTGTCAATACCGACACATCAGGATGCTAAGACCAAATGACTGAGGACAACGTTCTGGATCCTGTGGTTCAGGACAGGATATGGCTGTCTGCAAAAGTAGCAAGCTCAAGCACACGCCTCCCTCAAACAGACCTTCACAATACAAAAATAAAAATGCATTCATTATACAGTAGAGTCTACAAATACCGTACTCTAACTGCATTTTGTAGTGGAGCCTGAACTAGAATCTGCGCTCTAACAAAAGACTGCAAAAAGCTGCTGCTTAGAGTGTATAAAAAAAACCTCACAAAGTCTTTTTCAGAACTTCAAAAAGAATGTTATATACATTACATTTGAGAATCACTTCAATTCTACCTTGATCCCTTCAAAGGCTGCTTCAAAACTTATCTTATTCTAAACTAGTACCAACCTGCCCCAACTATTACAGAAAAATACAGTGGTCACTGATAGCTGCATTTTTACAGAACCCAGTCACCACCATTATTTCACTGATCTGATTATTTTGATTGCAAATATTCACACTCTAAAAAAAATTTCTTCTGGAGGTACACTATTCCCCAGAGTATTTAAGGGCTACAATCTTTATCAGGCAAGGCACAGAATACGTTATGAACTCACCACACAATGCTAAAGCAAGCCAAAACTTTGTGCGTGGAACTTTATTTGCCACATCTCCCATTCGCTTTTCTTGCTAAAAACAAGTGGGTGAAAATTCACCCCATTTAGCAGAATACAGTAATTCTTGCCCTTAAAAAGTCATGTACCTCTACTTAAGCTTAAAAAAATCCCAAACTCCAAGACCTACTTCCATTAATATCTATAAAAGTCGAGTCACTAAAATATTATCATCATGAGAAAAGAAATTCCATAAACAGTGAGATGTACCAACTTTGTGATACCCTGACTGCTGCAATACTGAGAGCTGCAATACTGGAGCATCAGCAGAAACACACTACCATCCCTCAAAATGAAGAGATTTCATCTATATTGTAAATAGCTATCCCCCTTAGATCCACACAAGGACGTAGGGAGGAAAGTGTCACTAACAGAACTTTACAAAAAGAGCAAAATATGAACCATTTGCACTAGATGAAAAAGTTGTTTTGAAGAGATGACAGGCCAGCTGGAGTAATAGCTGAGGAGAAAACTCCCAGCAGAAAGCAGAGAGCCAGTATGCCATCCTCGTGACTAGGAAGACAGCAGCACTTGCACATGTATCTTTAAAGACAAAACACAAAGCAAAAGGCAAACACACATCATTACTTGCTGCAAATTTAAGGACAAACATCAGTCTGTGGAACAGATCACAGTAACATGAATATAATCTGCTAAAGCTACCGACTCCAAAAGAGGGAACAAAAGAGACCTGTCCTGTCCAGCCCTTTAGAGGCTTACAGAAAGGACAGGAATGTAAACGATGGAAGCGAAGGATGTGTGAACTATCCACCAGAAATTACAAGTAGTATTTGCAGCGTAGCAGGAAAACCCAGAGTCAAAACCCCCTCTAATTCATACAGTAACACCCCAAGGAATTGTCTTCATGTCAAATGCGTCTTTCAGAAGTAGATAGTGTGAAATTAATCTTCTTGGAAGAGTCCAAAAGCAGCTTCAAGAAAAAAAATTCTATAGCAATGTGGTGCTGAGAAGTGCTATGTTTCGCTTACAAAACAAGCCAAACCACAAAAAAATGGTTCATTTGCTCCAAAGTATCAGCATACAGAACTTAAACCACGCCCCAGCGAAAACAGGAACTGCATTTTGGAGACTTTATTTTTCTATTACCAGGTCAAAACTAGTTACCATCAACAAAAACAGATCAATGTAATTTCTCTAAATTCAGCGTATCAATTTATAAGATATAAACCAAGTGTGGATCTAAGTGGGATACTCCACTGGACACAAGACACCGCATGTATCTGTATTTCAGCTCTATGTGCTTGATGATAAGCTGAATGTAAGAAGCTGGGTAAGAACTGTCCAGTGCTGCATCAGTCTTAAATGGAAACTGATAACAAACTTCAGTATCAAGCATTTGAAATTTGCCTATTTTTCGAGTTTCTATGACATTCAGACACTTAAAGCAAGAAGTACAAGCCATACCGCATATTATTTTTGATTACACCATTTCCTTAGATATTCTAGGGAAGTAAGAACTGTGCCAAATGCTCCTATAGACTGAGGATGTGAAACAGATACTAGTTGCAGTAGGATACCTTGAAGCGCTGTTCTCATCTTCACTGTTATTGAGGGTAGCACCACAATGAGAATTAGGGAAGTAATACCATGCTCAAAAATAACTCTGAAACAGTTAACAACAGACATGCCAATGTTCCAGTCAGACTAGACTATTTGGGGAGGGGAGAGGGAGGCTTGTAGAGGAAAAATGTGAAGGGCAGAGTACAACAGGAGTGTGAAATCAACCCTTGTAACTAATTTAAGAATTACAACTCTATCCTTTAGAACTACTGGAAATCACATCGGCCGTCATTACTTAGCAAAATCTTGAAGAAATGAAATACAGTCTATGCTCATCAAAAAACAACAAATTTTAAAAGTATCTCAAAAAATTAAAAAGTTTATTAAACCTGACTCCAACATTCGTTAATTTTCTACTTCACTGCTGGTAGGCTGCAAGGCCTCCTTGGACAATACCTGTTCTTCTGAAGCTGAAGTTGTCTTTAAGCAACCTCAAGCATTCAAAACCAATGCATCTGCAACTAAGCAAGCAGCAACACTTAAAGGCTCATTTTTCCTCACAAAGGGTGCAATTTTTTGCTAGCCACTGTGTGAAAGAAGGAACTTCAGGTAAGTATATGCCTAAGTAAATTTTGAATATGCAACAGAATTCCATGAGGTTTCAAGAAAGTACTATGACTTTCGGTATTGTTGCAGAAGACAAAATATTGCGAAGTTTGGTGTATTTGAAAGATTGAGGATAAGGTTTTCCCTGAAACTGACAAACTGGAAAATCTGCACCTTCATTTCTCATTCTCCTACTCTACTTTACCAACTTGAATCTCTATTTCTTCATAGGGCTCTACATTAATATTTGTGGTGCAGCTCATATATGCAGCAGTATTAACATCTTAACCTCTTCCAAAGAAACTGTATTCTATAATTTAGGCTACACAATTTTGTGACTATAAATGTCACTTACTAATTCAAACCTAAGTATTTTAAGCCTTTCAGTAGATAATCTCCCCAGAAGAGGAAACATTAGCAAATAATATTTACATGCCACTAGTTGAAAGACTACACAAAGTCACATTACCAAACCCAAATACAGCACAGATGCAATGCAGGGGAAGAGGGAGAAAGGGGCAGCGTGGCTGAAGGACCACCTGAGCAGCCTGGGAGGAAACGCGTTCCGTTACAAGAAAAGGTACCCAAACATCTTAAAACATGTTCCCTCCCCCTGAGACTCTTAAAAACACAACAATAATAAAAAGATAAATATTAATATAGAGCCCGTCTACCAAAAGAGAATAAAAAACCTAAATTAAAATAAATTTAGGGGCCTTCACCAAACTTGCTGCAAGTTTGGGGACATAAATATCCAACAGCCATAAAGCTGTGAAAGCCCCCAGAATGAATAAAATAAATCCCACTTGCCTCAGACTGAACAGGGCAACACTGAGACTCTGCCTCAGCCTGTCCTATGGCAGGGCTATAAGAAGAAGAAAAATTTAAATTTTAGAAAAAACATGATCCAATTAAGTGAAAGACATGCATTCAAAGTTAACAAAATTCCAGTGATCAAGCAAACCAAAGAAAATGACTGCTATAGCACCTATTTTGCTAGGCCCAGACAAAACTTGTTACGGTCGGTAGCTATTTCTGAATTGGACAGTTTGTTTTGCTTTGTATCTTGATCAATGGAACAGTCGTCTTGGGGCATTCTTCCCATAACTGATAGTATTTACTGTACTAGTTCACAAAAAGTAGAGTTAAAGATTCCATCAGCCACTGAAAATATTCACCCTCACCTTAGTATTTACGTAGAAGCTAGACCAGTACAATTATTAAGACATTTACTATAAAGTGTCATTAGTTACCATTTTAAATTGCAGCCCCAGCTCATGGACTGGTATATCAGAGTCTCAATTTAACTGAAGAGTCATAATGCCCTTCTTGCTGTTTATAAAACTGAAGTAATCTTGGTATTTCATTTTTTATCTTGTATGTAGAATTCTTTGATTCCTATAAAATAACTGCAGGTTATATATTCCATTCAATTTATCCAAGTTTTAAGAAAGTAAGTTATACAGTTCTAGGTAAGTACTGTTCAAGAGCTCCATATACTAAAATAATTGCAGAAACCACAGAAAGCAGATGCAGCTGAATGTGTTTCTAGAAGCTTGTTTATATACTCCCATGCATGCACAGAGTGAGGAATAGTTATCCACTGAAATTATCAGATTTACATCCCAGCCTCAAATTTATTATCAACACCTAAAAATCTCATCTGTGGAAGAATAAATTTTAAAAATCGCCAAAGTTCCAGAGGAATTTTTTAGTCCACATGAGCCAGCTTAATCTTTGAGATTTAAAGCAACATTTGCCAAAGGCAGAAAGATATTCCAAAGGCAGCAAGACCTCTGAAAAACTACCCTGGGCTTTTCCAAGGTTCTTTCGTGCCAGTCCCACCCCTTTTGCTCTAAAAAAATCAGCAGATAGAGATCAGCCCCTCATAATGATATTGAGAGACCATGCACAAAACAATTTAGAACATTTTACAAGTTCTAGATGCCATAAATTCTAAGTATTTTGCTAAATGTATTTTCCCACCTGTGGGTGAACATTTTCTTGCAATCTTTTTTTTTTTGTATTCAACATTTGCATGACATTCCAATTTAAAGATTCATCAAAATCCACTTGCGAGTTTTCATTTTACTATTAAGATCTGCCATGGCAAATTTAGGCAACAACTGAAAAATAAACCTTCTACCTAGGTAATTATATCTAGACTATTATATCTAGACTAGAGTCCTGCAACGGATATAAAAGAGATGCTTTTCTGTAATCATAAAAGCTTCTGCAATCTCCTTCCAAGGAGAGATTAACTAAAGCAAAAAAACACCCAAACCTGCATGGCTGTGTTACATTAGGGATTTTGCTGGCACAGCTATTTTGATTAAACTTTGTACTGTAAACCAAGCTTAGTCTTTATACAAGCAATTACTACATTCAAAGTAGTTTTCCTCTTTTTGGGAAAATGCACCATAAATCCAACTCTCTGAACATTAAGAAGCAGTATCCAAAGAAATGAGGGCAGGGACCGACAGACAACAAATGCACTGAGATACCCCCCTGTTTACAGAAAAGTACACACAGGAGACACAAGAGTAACTGAAGATAGCCACATCACAGCTCTTACAGCACAGAAATGACAGGAGCAGGAATGGAAGTATCCACATGAAAAATCATGGAAAAATTGTTCACCTGCTGCTGAAGATTATTAGAGTAAGAATAATACATGGCAGGACTTAGTTGAAGAATTATAACGTTGCTACTAAGGAAAGTTCGATCTTAAAATGTGTCCAAGCTACAAGTCTATGTAGTATTAGCTACAAAACGGTGCTATTATCAGAACAATGGGACATTCACTACTTAAGAGGGAAACTCTTAATTAATACAACTTGCAGAATATGCTGAGTTAACAGTACATGCAATACAGTTTTCAGGTATTTATCCCAGGAAAAGTAAGGGTCTGAAAACAACATACCAATGAGTTACAGAAAGACACCAAAGGGAGAAGGTATTTACTTTACTAGGGGCAGGAGGGCAAAGCATCCTTGCAGCAGCAATACGATCTTCAGAAAAAGCAAGAAGTTCTATAGTTTTAAAAGCAGAAGTTAAGATCAATTTATCATGTATGAATTTTATGTATAGTATTACAAAAAGAAGGAATGTAAGACACTGTATAAAACTCTCCAGTGTTTTGTAACTATCCTTATTAAACAGAGGAAAACCAGAGTATAAAAGCATCACCTAAGCAAACCAGTTTTATCTGTTAGACTTATTTATAAAGCAAGATAAAGAGCTAACAAAAGATCTGACATCAAGCCCCACTCAGCACATTTGCAAGCCAAATACTGCACATCTGACAGGTGATCAGCAGATACCAGTGATCAGAGAGAACTGCTTCTCAACAGAGGCTTGGAGTTATGGTCTTAAAACTGCTAAACAGTTCAGGAAAAGCACCTGACAATACTTAATGGTTAAAATAAAGCCATTTGGCTGCAATTAAGAGTGCACTCTAGTGCTTTTATCAGCTATTTCATGACCTCAAGTTTGAAACTGAGAGGACCATGTAGTATTTCAGCTGTACTGTATTTCCAGACTATTAAGAGACAGTACAGAGTAAAACCACATGTAGTACTTAAGTACAGCTAAAACCCCCCAATTCTTTCAAGAAAAAGAGCCAAAATGCTCAGTATTATAATGAAGTGAATAAACTTCCACCATCTACGGAACATAAACTGGCACAAAAATGCAGATAATCCTTCTAACCTACCCTAAAGGAAGAGATAACCCCATAAATTACATGGTACAGATAAGGCTTGAGGCTGGAACTTGTATTTAAAGTTGACCTGCAAATGAAAAATTCACCACTCCTTTTTTGCCCCGTTGTGAAGAGACCACGGCTCCTCTCACTTCTCTTCCCTCCAAAAAGTCTCCCTCTACATTTTCCTTCTCCTCAGAAATACAGCACACTAACACGGTGACTTCAGACTTTCTTATAAACAGATAAATGACTAATTCATACAGGGAAGACCTCTTTTTGATAACTGTTATTAGGAGAACTGATAAAAAGGCCTCTTACTCTAGACACTTTCATTAAATGGCTGAAGAAACTCAGCCAACATCTGCCCACAGCACGTAACGAATGGTTCATCTTTTAGACCCTGCTGAGATCTGAAATTCTGAACATTTAAGGTAAAAATATAGCATATAACATATTACTCTTGCCCCTCTTGTCTCTTTGATACACTGAGAAGAAAGTCAAGCTACTTTTTCTCTTTTGCAGGTCAACTTCAATACAACATCAACTGGAAGTCACTCACCCATGTGACATGCACCTAAGCTTCTAGAAATCTTCACCTAAAAGTCTCCTGAAATTCATATGCATTTGCAAATTAAAGAGCGTCAATTGAAGAATGAACTAACAGGACACATCTGGCACTAGGATGCATCTTAGAGCAATCGCTTTTACATCCTACGAGTAAGTGCCAGGACAAGAAATCACTGAAAATTTCTTGAGGACAAGAAAGCACAAATAAAGAAACATATGCATTAAGAGAAGTTACAGCCAAGAGTTAAGATGTGCCTCCTGCAGCCTCATTTTTGAGGAGTCAGTTAATAAGTGTACAGGTCTTTGTCTACTCAGATGTGCAGCTAAGGAGTGACTTAATTTTAGAACAAGGAATTCAGATTTTATCAGAACAGCACCAATAACTGTGTTCATCACACCAATAGCTACCATGGCATGCATCTGTACAAACCTTTCAGGCAGTTGTCCACAGCTGGTCATGAATAAAAAGGCATATAAATTTTTCTCTTCTTTTATTACAATGAAGTTTATAACAGTACAGAAAAGTCACATGACCTTAGTGGGTCAGTTTACTTAAACCCTGAAACAGGAGGAACTCTAAATACATTAAATATTGTTACAAGTTCAGACTTTAATGTACAAGTAGTCGGGAACAGTTACAGCCCTCACCAAACTATGTTGGGGACATGAAGTCCAACAGCACTTGAAGTGCTGTGAAGGCATCATTTCACAAATAGCAACATAATGTTACAGAACTTGCCTTTAAGGTGGTATGTTCATGTAATTCCAGCGCCTTCACAATTTAACGAACCATATTTACTATACTTCACTTCTAAAAACCTAGATGAAACATGAAAAAGAAGCCATACAGTATAAATTGCAACATCAGGAAAAGTTCCTGTTATTATTCCAAATATTTTTTCCCGTGTAAAATAAGAATGTCCAATAGCTCCTTGCATGTGGGAAGATACTTATTTTTTTTAAAGTCACAATGAAGCTTTAATTGACGGAAGCTCGCCTATATTAACAGCACAAGATGAGAAAAGGTTTAATCTCCAAACCTATTAGAGCGTGTGTAGTAGCATCAGTAGCGGCCACCTTGCGACATTACAGGAGGTCTCATTCCCATTGGAGGTCGAGGAGGTCCACTTTGGTAAGGGGGCACCATCGGAGGTCCCTGACCGTATGGAGGCATCGCTCCAGGAAGATACCCTGGCATGCCCTGGTGATGAGCACCATACTGACCTATAAGTAGAACATTTAAGATGCAAAGAAGATTTTTATTTTTTTTTTAATAATGGGAAAAAGTTGCATTCGGTGAAAAGCTTCACCCCCCTGCCAGTAAATGCCACTTAAATTTTTTAAAAAAAGTTTATAGCAAAGACAAATCTTTCCAAGACGCGAAAGCTAGGAAATTTATGATTACCGTGAGGTGGCATGGGAGGTCTCATTCCTTGTTGTTGTGGAGGAATTCCTGGCTGTGGTGGCATCATACCTCCAATTGGTCCAACCGGTGGATTGCCCAAGGAAGCCTGTCCTGGTCGAGGCAGATTACGCTGATATTTAGGCAACTGTGCCCTTCTCTCTTCCTAAAACAAAGAACAGACAACCATAACAAATTTTAAGACTAAAACTCACCAAAAGCAAAGTAAATACAAGTGTAACAAAGCATATTACAGGTTCTAAACTTTTTCAACTACTTTACAAATTCAAAGGCTGCTGTTACAGTAGCATTTGGATTTTTCCTCCTTCCTTCCAAGTTACTGTATTAAGACTGGCCAATCTGGCAACACAAGTTCTCCTCCCTCAGCTGAAGAAAGCCTCTTTGTCATAACAACTTGAGACAATAAAGCCAAACACAAATCAAGAGAATCTTAATTTCAGTTCAGATGTCATTTGATTCATCCATACATTCCGTATTTCTGACCACTGTAATAGCACCAAGATGACTTCAAACTGTTACGACTTTCGTCCTCTACTCACTAGCTGTATCTATTTAACTTCAAGCTTAAGTCATATACACAAAAATTCCTAACTGTGTTTTGGGCTGAATAATTTCTTATCACAAGAAAACCAAGTCTTAGATTTGCAGCAAGATCATTGTAATATGCCAGTCATCAGTTTGCAATCAAAAAGTCTTCTCAATGAATGGTTCTGTTACATTAATTCTGCAGTTTGCACTCTCACTGTTACTAAAATACACATAATGCAGAGCTCAGAAGAAATTCTATTTGAGCAGCCTATCAGCGTAAACTATATATTTCAGGAAGACAATGAAAATATTTTAACTTACCAGTGATATATCCTCATCTGGATGGATCAACTTACTGGTTGCACTGGTTGTGGTGAGGGTAGCTGGCTTACTTGTTATGGATGTAGCTGGTTTGGCCGCAGTACTGTTTGTCGTGCTAGTGGTTGAGGCTGTAGACTGTGTGTAAGCAGGGAATGTAGGTTTTGGGGGTTCTGTTGTTGTTGCAGGTGTAGAATTCAGAGGTTTGAAATCAGTACCAACTGGACCTGGAACAGCTGCTGCAGCCTGTGGAACACAGAGATAGATCAATATTTATTTCTCAAAGCGTAAAAAAACTTAAAAGATATCTGTTAGACCTCTGAAACCTTCCAGTGAGATACATAATTAAAACAAGCTTGACAAAAGTAAAGTTCAGCCTTATTGCGTACTAGAGCAACTGAAAACAAGACAAAATAAAACCCAGTATATACACATATATACACACAAACACACACTGGAAAGTCTAAAATTTGCAGGTCAAAAGCCACAACTAGAAAAAAGGAACAACAACAACAAAAAAAACCCCACTATCAATTTTTTTAATCTCAAATACTGAGTTTGGTAAATGTATCATTCCTGAATTACTGTTTTATTAAGAGCCTACAGGTATAAATTCATTGTTCTTTCACTAAATTATTTGCTTACTTTATCGACCATTAGTTTAGAGTAAAGCTTCAAGTGTTAGTATTCATTAGATATTCAAGAAATGTTTTAAGTATTTAAGAAAGCTCTATTGTGTCACGGTTTTTGTTTAAGGGTTGTCTCTATAAAAACACTGCAGTATTTTCACAAAGTACTATCTCTATATATATCTTTAATCTCGCGTGCGAATGAAAAAAATCAACTGAAAGCAGACATGAGGTTCACTACAGACTCCAGCATCTCACTTTCCTCCTTTTTTTCTTAAATTAAAACTGTTTGATAAGAAAGGTATGCTTTACCAAGCTTTCTCTGAAGATGCAGCAATCTCCAAAGCAAACTTTAGTTATGGGAGAATGCTTTTGTTTCTAGTCACTGTACATTTACATTTACATTTACCTTAACTTCCCAATCAAAACATTTCCATTTTTTGCACGTAATGCAAATTATAAAATTCCCTACATTATGATGTACCATATTAAACAACATAAACTAAAAAGCCTTCACCATGCATCAAGCTAACCACTGCCCACTAAAATGCATTTAACTGCTTTCATGCTTTTTTAACCCTTTAGAACCAGGATGCAACAATTTGTTCTTTCACACTAAGAAATATTGGGCATTTTGACATCTTTATTTCTAGTTAAGATGCAACTCTCAATCAAGGACTCTGCAGTTTTACCAGCTAAACAAAAATCAGGAATAGAACAGAAATTATCTGAAGATGTTTAGTCAATTTTAGATTTTTCAGAACGGTCCAAAGGGTTAAGTTGCAAAGCAATTTGTTTTTAACTGTGACTTCCTGCGTACTTGTGCTGTGCTAGGAAACAGAGCGTTAGAAGATGCTGACAGACTTTCTGAATTGGAGGAAGCTGCACTTGAGCTTGTGACAGGTGTCCCCATCTGTAGCATAAAAGAAAGGAAACAGTGAAAAGTCTCCAAACAAATGGGTGGAAAGTATCCAGATGAAAGGATTTCTTATGCTAAGTCCCTTCTTATGAAAGGACTGTGCTTTTGTAACAAGTATCTTCCCTGCTGAAGTCCAAAATGCAAATCGTACACTATGAAGGTTTCTGCAACATACTTGAAAGCATGTAAAAACTTCAGGACTTAAAACACAAGAAGTGCAATCAAAGGGTAGAGGTCACAAGCCACTATCAATTCCCCACTTCCCTCCCCAAAATATTTACAGAAATTTTTACTACCTTAACTTCTAAACTTTTTGAAGTAAAAAGCCTCTGAATTCAGGCAACGTTTCAACAGTTTAACAAGACAACAGACTAAACTAGTCCATCTATTGGTAAAGAGCCCACTATGAGAAGAACAGGAGAGAACAACTCCTGTCCAGATTCACACCTTGGAAATTTTAGCTAAGGTTCTACGCAACCAGATCGCTCTAAGTCACTAACACATCCCTTCTCCCACCCAAAGCACCCTTATAAATGCCAAACTCAAGTGTTTTGCCTACTCCTTTCTTCCCCACCTGCTTACAAAACTTCTGTTTGGTTTCATGGCTGTTATAAGACAAATAAAAGAATCTTTAAAAATTCATTCAAGCACTACACTGAATTAAACTTCAGAATCAACACAAGCGAGAAACTTAACCAGCCATTTCTCGGGCCTCCTCAATAATACAGAATAGATACTGTTGGCACAGTGGCAAGTGGAGTAATAGACTCCAGCTACGAGACACCTTACCTGCCCTGCACTTGGGAAGAGTGGTTTAGTAACCGGAGGCTGGGGGGTTGGTGCCGACGCAGCCGGGGCTGGAGGCCTGTTAAGAATGCCCGGCGCTGTAACAGGCTGTGCTTGGGTCATTGGAGGCATCCCAGGACGAGGGCCAACAGGTGGTGGCATACCTACAAACCACAAAGAATAGGTAACCAACCAGGCTGAAAGACCTAAGATACTCCTTTAGAGGATTCTGTTCACAGTGTTCCTTAGAACAAAGTCTCGCTCCCCAAGAAAATGTATTTTTAAAGCAACAGTGAATTTAAATATGGCAAAGGGTAATGACAGCAGTCACCAATAAATGTCCATGCATAGGCAGTAACCTCAAACGCGTCACAGCAATAGTGAAGTAAGTTGTGTTTTCTACTGGAGCTTCAGTGATGAAGCAGCTTACGAGCTCAATAAATCAATGCAAGTAATGCAGTAACTGTTTCCAACACACTGTGTCTATGCTGCCAGCTGCATGGATAAAACTGTTATGAAATCCAAAAGATGCAGCCATTATGAACAGTATCAGAACTCTGACCAAAACACAAACGAGCTTTGCTGCGCGTTTTTAGCACAGTGGAACAGTGAGACAACGCTACTTTTTGTAGCCCATCAATACAATACACACACTCTGCACATGTGCAGCTCTAGGAGAGGTTCAGAGATGGGAAGTTAATAGCTCACACAGGTTCAATCATATTACTATCAGGATAACCAGGCTGTGACTATCCTAGAGCCTTGCCTCCTCCCCCAGTGAGAAATGTGGGCAAACCAGCAAATCTCAAGCTATGACACCTTGAGAACTTAAGGCTGTTTAAGAGTTGCACAAGCTCAAGAAAGAACTCCTCTAGCTATGGTAAGAGACAAAATCACCAGGCAGTTTCTTCACACAGCATGTTCACTACTTGGGTATATCACCAACACAATTTCTCATTTCCCACATTTTCAATCATTATGATTTGCCAGCTGTGACCAAAGACATTAAAAAAAGGGCTACAGAGAGACTAGGCAACGCAAAAGCCAGAGAAAGTAGATCAGAAAGAAAAAACTATATTCTATGTTACCTTCACAATGGTGCCAAACACAAATAATTATTTCTAATCAAAAGCTGTACATCAAACCCTTCACCTGTGCACAAGAGTGGCTTTTGTGGCAATCAATTCACATCAAGGTGGTGGCATGTCTGTATATTCTTTATATAAATCCTAAATATCAGTGGGAAAAAAATAAATAAATAAATAAAATTTTGCTCTCACCATAGTATGAGTTCGACAACCCTGACCTACCTGGTGGCATACCAGGCATAAGAGGTGGTATTCCTGGACCAGGAGGCATCATTCCACCCATTGGCATCATCCTATTAAACAGAAAACAAACACTGGTATGAACACTCACGATCAACTCTTAAGTCAACTGGCACATACCTGTATTAGATAAAAAATTATAGTAAATAGTTTCAAGAAGAGACAATTGAAAACCACCTGACTCCACAGTTAGAAATGTTTTTCCATAAGAAAAAAACAAAACAAAACAAAACAAAAACTCAAGAAAACGTCCAAACACACTTTATTTGAACCTGAATTCCTCAAGCTTTCACTTTCACTATTGTAAGATTTCCAGAACTGGTCTCTCGAAATCTCTCTCAGGCTACTAGTTTCAGCAGAGTGTTCAAAGCACCTGACCTTAGTAAACTCAGAAGATTTGAAAGTAGGAAAAACAGCTAACTCCAATCACACTAAAGTTGCTGTACATCATTGCTATTACTCCTTTCTGACACCGGAAGTCTATGGGTGGATACAGAACCCTCATACTATTTTAACGTATTCTCCTTCCTGTATTGAATTGCAGACACCCCAAATCTATGAAACAATTCACAAAAATACTGATAAAAGCAGAGCAGAGACCACAGGACAAGAAAGCTTCTGGAACTTTACTTACAGTAAATATTTCCTATGCTAAGGGAAAAAAAAGTAGGATTTTTAAAAATTTTTTTTCCTTATTACAGCATATTTTTCCTTCATATTAGAAACAGGTTTGGGTTATTTTTCCTTCCTTGCTACTGATACCTGGAGAAAAAAAAATTACTGTATTTCCTTACAGAAAGGTGGCATCTAAATAGCTGCTTTTATTCTTATCTACTAAACCACACTACAAATAAATACACATTCCCCATCTAAACTATACATACAATCCTTCATATAAGCAAATTCCTCCTGCACAGGGCTGCAACTCCCTAAAAAAATAAGCTGTCTACAACACTAAGCACTTTTTAATTGGGAAGCTATAGATCAATACATGTGACTCCTTTATTGGGAACAACACCAGTGTAGTGAAGTTTGCTGAATTTTTTCCAGACACTCAAAACTGGATTAGGGAAACAAAATGAAAGAGTGTTTATTACTTTAGCTGGCAAGATAAAGCAGATACGTAGCAGCCAAGTCCTCACCAAAACCCCACTAAGAAGCAGTCCCTATTTGTGTGACAAAGTCAAGAAACCTTCACCATTGCTGTTTCAAAAATCAAAACAGATGAGCATTCATTCTGCAAAGCAAATTGCCACCCAATCTTATTTTTCTTCTCAACTTGTCTACCACTGCTGCAAAAGGAACCGCCAACGCAGAAGTAGTGACTGGGGATGTAGTACCACCGCTCCTTTTTTGGGTGAATCGTTAGAGAAGGCAAACTCAGTCTTGCCACCCATTTTGACAACTGTTAGACCCCCAAAAAAGTGCTGGATGCTCGCTGACTGCTGCCACTGGAAAGAAGAGTTTCTGAGAAACTGAGGGATAGTGCCAGAACCAGGGCTCATTTAGATAAAGCATAAAAACTTCAGCTACTACACAATACCAAAACCTAACTAGACATTTCTCCCAAATTCTTAAACAATATTCAGAGGTTTGCAGTAAGACAGTTTCAGGCTTATCAAAAACATGACATAAAATGGCAAAATGAAGGTACCTAGAATTACATTAATGAGATGCTTACATGTTTCCACCACAAAATGACTGCATGTATTTTCTCTGTTGATGTAATCTGTGAAAATTTATGACAAAATCAAAAATCTAACTGTGATTTTCCAAACACACTGTGATAGGGTACGGTGTCAAGCCCAAACAAGCATAAAACCCAACATATTACTTTTGCCCAAAACGCAAGAAAAATTTAAATTATCCAGTACTTTTTTCCTGTTAGGTTGATGACTGATAATCAGATGCACAAAAGATGTGCAATACACAAAGGAACAGTGGTTCACGGAGGGCTCTAAACCAACACAATGAAACTTTAAATTGTTATTTTACTATTGAATAAAGTCAAGAGAAAGGCAACATACTTTATATATAAACTCACAGTTTGACCATATTTTAATGTTGGTTTACAGCCATCCAGTTCTTTGGTTAGTCTTAATACTAAGACTACAGAGTTCACAGGTTCCTATGCACATTTTTCTGATTGGCTTTACTTTTTCTGTGACAGTTTAAACGCACAGTATGAACACATAATATTCAGTCTTTCCTGCTACTCACCCAGGTGGCATTCCAGGCATAACTGGAGGCATTCCAGGCATCATGGGTGGAACACCTGCCATTAATGGTGGTATACCTTAAAAAGAAAAATGAATTTTGAACAACTCCAACAGCATGCAGTCACTAACAAATCACATCTAATAAATTTAGACTGGATAAATGCTTTACGGGAGCTCTAAAAGATTGGTGTTTTGAAATAACACTGCTTACAAACAATGCAATATAAGATTATCTTCAGATCTGACTTGGATTCACTGTTCTCTGTCCTGCAAGACTGTGTAAATCTACTTAGTATTCTCCAAAGAACGTGCCTTATCATTACAGAAAACATAATAAGAGCAGCCTAATTTTTGCTCACTGTCATTGATCAAAATTATTTCCTCAACACATCTGTGGCCTTTGTATAAACTGCATGTTCTATGTTAGCAGTCTCTAAATCTACGGCAGCCTTTCTGCCCTGCTTTTAAAATCTTGTTACAAAATACCACAAATACCATTGTTAGACTTATATTTAAAGTACTAATCGGTCTTACTACCATATTAACATTCTTTCAATCTAGAATCAAGCATTAAGTATCTTAATCCACTTCACAAGAGAAGATGTGTGCGCGCACACAGAACAGGGGAAGAAAATGAAGAAATCGTGTTAAACTGGGTAGAATGTTATTCCAGCATACAAGCAGCAATTTCTAGTCAGCTTTTTGGTAACTAGCTTAAAAGACCCTCTCACCTGGAGGCATCCCTGGGGCTCCCGGCACAGGAGGCAAACCCGGCTGCGCCATCGGGGGAATGTACCCCGTCTGCGGCTGGACTTGCTGGGGTTGAAATGAAGTTGAAGCTGCAGATTCGTCGTCTTCATATTCATCAGAATCATCCTGTTGTTTCTTTTTCTGGCTCTCTGCTGAAGAATACAATTCATATGGTCAGACTGAAGGCAAATTATATTCTATGAAATTCATTTTATCTGCGGTATTCTAACTGGAACAAAAATAACAAAACTCAGATCTTATCAGCGTGTTCAAAAATTCACAGAATCACAAAGAACAAAAAATATGTAAGCCTACCTATATGTACAAATAATAAAAGCAATAAAAGTGACTCACACTGCAATAACCCTCTAAAACTCAACATAAATGGGGGTCTTCCTTCATGTCAGTCCCATGCTGCCCAGAATAAGCCAAAGTAGTTCAAATAAAGGTATACTTAGCAAAGAAATCTAAGTATTTGGGCATCAGGTTTATAACACCCCTGGCCTCTCCTCCCCTTACCCTCAAATAAAATCACCATCCCCGCATTTTTAGGTAATCACTGTAGCTGCACTAGCATGCAGATGTTTGTGAAAAGAAAAATCTCTCATCCTTCTCTGTGACTGGCAATGTCTAGAGCTGCAGTTAGAGAATGCATTAAACCCAACCCCTACTCTTCTGAGAACTGAGACATATATCACACAGCTCAGTATCAGTAAGAATCAGACTGAGGAAGTAACAGGTAACTAGTGAGATTACACTTTACCCTGAGTTTTTTGTTCAAGTAACCTCCTCCGTTCCTCCATGTCTTTTTCCGGAATGCCCTCCATGCCATAGATTTCCAGTTCAATGTCCGTTCTTCCAGGAATAGCATTTGGAACAGCATCTATTGTTTCTTTATGTACCTAAAGAAGAAAAAAATAAATCCTCCTGAACACAATTCAGATTAGAGTCTACGTGCTCTTCAACCAGTTTCAAGACAGAAAACAAACATGCTTAATAGTGAGAATCTCTCTGGCCAAGCATTCTCTTGATGTGTGCTTCCTAATCACTGTTAACTACAATTAGCTTCTAAAATCAGTTTATATAAACTTGTCTTCTGAACACCAAGACAAGAGAGATCCTTCACTCCTCCCACACCCCAAAAATGACAGCAGAGATCTCTACTGCATACTCTCCGTACGACTGCTGACGCAGCAGGACGCCCGCTCTGGAGACAGACCATTGCTGTCCTTTTCTCATCAGTTTTTAAGACTCTGGAAGTCCCAAGACCCCCACCCATCTTGTTAATTTCACCATTAATTCCAACTTTAGATACTATTAAAAAGCTAACGTAAATCTAAAACATCTTACCTGCATGCAATGTATAGCTAAACCAGGTCCTGTATACAGTTTCTTATGACATATATGGCATTTAAAGTGCTTTGCTTTTTGATGCTGTATAAGGATTTTTTCATCATCAAAATCCCTGTTACAGTACCTATGGAAAGCTGTTAAGGAAACATTTAATCCTGAAAGTGACCTTCTATATAACACTACTTAGAATCATTGTGATTTTTCCTAAAGGAAAAACAAGCCACAGGAAGCATCTCTGAGCATTCAAAGCATGGCAAACATTTCACAGATCTCTGCAACCAAACCTCTCCCTCATACCACCCAGCATCTCCCTCTTCAGATAGGTACAAAACTGGCAAGATGTGTGCACACAGTCAGAACCATTATTCCATTCCATATTCTTTGACACATGCTTTTCAAGTCCTAGTTATTTCTAAGTGGACTCATTTCTTCTCTGTGCATGTGTAGATTAAAATAAAGTTTTTAAAGCATTAAAGGAGAAACAGACTTGAAATCCAGAAAAGGGAAGTGATACTACTTAGAAGTGGTGCATATTTAATAACAAGTATCAGTAGCTAACATGTATAGAAGAAAACAAATATTTTATTTAAAAATTCCTTTCCTTTTTCAGTCACCCACCAATTCTTATGACACTACATAATTCACAATGGTCATTAAAGAACTCAGGTTTTAAGAACAAACATTTTAAGTGAAGAACTTTCTTGACATCTGTGTGACAGAACAGCCCAACTGCGATTTCCTCTCTGCAGGTCAGCACTAATATTTCACCAAATGCTCCAAACACATAGTCCTAAGCCAGACAAATATACATTTGCTAGTAGTTGCTCCTTGTTAACACGTGTCCTCCACTTCCACCAAAACTTGAAACATATTAATATCTAAAACAGAACCACAGATGCCTTCCAACATATTAACAGTTAAAAAAATTAATCTCAGAGCAGTTTATAAATTCCTTTATTAAACAATTTTAGATCAGGCAGAAACGTTTTAGAGATTAGTTAAATCTGTAATCATCCCCCAAACAAAAAGCAGATTGTGAAGGAGCAATCGAAGGAAAACCTTATTTTTCAGTATTATTTATTACATATCCAGTATTTCTGGATAGTAAGAAATTATACATGACTTTAATGATGCAATTACAAATTTGAAAGCCCTCTCTCTCCAGAACGAAAGTTTCCGAGGTCGCTTCTAACCACATCTGCCCCACTTATGAATAACTGCATTTATCAGAGGCAGGGTTTTCTTCCGTTAACATCCATCCACCCACCCGCGGGATAAAGACGGTTCTCCATTTTCCCCACGGTCTCGGCAATCCCGCCGGGCCGGCCCAGAGGAAGGCCAGGGAGAGCCGGCCGGGGAAGCGGCGGCCCGGCCTGGCCCGCCCGTACGGGACGAGACGCGAGGCCGAGGCCCCAAGCGCGGGAGCGAGCGGCCTAGGCCGCGCGCGGGGGATGAGGGGGAGCGGGGAGGAGAAGCAGGAAGGGCACAGACCAGGCCCCATCCCCGCGCACAAAACGGAATCGGACCACGCAGGAGGCCAAACCGTAACAGGGATGGGGATAAGGAATCAGCCCCGTCCCTGGACGGCGAGGAGCCGGGCGGAGAATGGGACGGGCCAAAGATCCGACCGGGACGGGCCAGGCCGCTCCCCTCCCCCACCCAACTCCCCACACCCGCCTCGTCCCACACAGAAGGATACCAGCACCAAGGTTTCAGCTGCTTCTTCTTCTTACGGCCCATAGCGGCGGCGCCACCGACCTACTGGGAAAGGAGACGGCCAAGCTCTTCCCTCCTGAGCTGCAACGCCTACAACCACCTCTCCGCGGAGCCGAGCGAGGCAGAGCACAAAATGGCCGCCACCGTCCCTTCTGGCGCCGCGCCTCCAAGCTCCCAGACTGCAGCGCGGCGGGGAGGGGGGGCTGCCCACGTGACGGGCCCGCGGCCGATCCTGCCGCCCCGTGGGCTGTCCCATGGTGCCTCGCGCTGCCGCTGGTCCGCCATTTTGTCGCCGGCGGCGTGAGGGAGTTGAGCTGCCTGAGGCGGCGGGTTGTGTTGTCTCCGAGTTTAACGTTAGGGAGAAATCTGCGGTGATGTTTTTGTTTTGGTTTTTTTTTTTTTGCCTACGAAATTAGACTGGGAAAGAAGCCGGTATCTCTTAAACAGTCCGCTCTACACAGTGCTTTGGGGGTCTTTTGGCAGGGAGGCGTTGGAGCCTGGCACTCTGAGAACACTAAAACTGACAGAAATGTGTTGAGCCTTCACCTCCCCGCAGGGCTTGGGTGCGAGGACTGAGAGCACCGTATATTGATCAACTGGAACAGATCTAGCAATACGACATTTTTTTCATGCCTCCTGCTGTCCTCTGCTATCTGTTTTCACTGCACAAAAATACTGTCATTGATAAAAAATCACAACGCTATACAGGAGAGAGCCTCCTTTCACTGCAAACATTTAAAAACAAGTATCTGGACTCCCATTTTGGGCCTTCCTACCATCTATTTATGATGCTTAACAACCATTGCCTTAGTAAAGTTGAATCAATAAAAGGGCCAGGTATCTGTTGAAGGGGAAAGCTCCAGAAGTACATTAAATGAGTGCATTTCGGTTTTTTAATCGCAAGGATGTTTACTGCATCTTGAGTAATACCTTATCCCCATGAAATGTCAACACCCTTTTACTTTGTTAAAATGAGTTTATAGCCTGGAGGTATATGCAAAACTGCTTTGGGGGGCTTAACCTCCCGTGTTTACTTTCCCAAACAGATTTGTAGAAATCCAGAAAGAGTTCGCTGGGCAGTTTTAGGAGGGGGGTAACTGCCTGCCTGCTGGTTACAAGGCCGAGCTAACAAATGTATTTCAGCATCAGAGCAGGCTTTTTAAGAACAGGCCGCACGGCCAATCCCGACCAGTGTGGTCGGAGCGGGCCCCGCCATTGAGTCAGCGAGGAGCCTTTGAAGGATTCCTGTACTGTACCGGTACCATGGCGCCGATATCGCATTTTTCGGTAAATTAAGTGAACGGAGGAGCTGCCCGTCACGATCACCCGCCTGTCGCCCTCCTCCTCCCCGCCGGGGTACGCCCACTGGGGGCGGGAGGAGCCGCCCGCCCTGCCCGGCCTCCGGGGCGGGGAGCGGCGGCGGCGG